CTTAATTTCACTCTTCAAAAGTTTTTCTTTTAAACTTTCATTTTTTTTAAAAAATGTGACCTAAACGGTACAAATGGCTTGCAATTCACTCACATGAATTACCTAAATTTATATACAACCGAAAACAGACGTAAAAACGATAGTTTGTCCATTGTTGCCTCTATACGTATACTTAGATACTCGGATATATTTGAACGTTAAAAATCCTGTGGTTAACCAACAAATGAGTCGGTTTTCTCGTAACGCGTCTATATCCCACGCGAGAAAGTAACATTTTTTTTATCCTATTTGTTCAGCTTAGATAGACTTATTCATCTCTTTCTTGTATGTGTACTTGGTTGTGAGTAGACCTGTAACAGTTCCAGCTCATAAGTTCAGCTCATTTGAGCGAAAGAAGTGCTGAACAATTCTTTTGAAAGGAGCTGATATGTTTGAACAGCTCTTTTGAAATTTAAAAAATTGAAATTTTTTGAAATATTTTCAACGACTACTGCTAAAGCTTTCATGCTGAAGCAAGAGCTTGCTCAACTCGAAGCACTGGACGCTCCTGAAGTCCAGGAGTCCAAGAGCAAAGTGTTCTTTTTTGGGAATCACTTCCCAAAAAGAACAAAACTGTTCATTTTTTGGGCAGTGATTCCCAAAAAAGAACACTTTGCTCCTGGACTTCAGAAAAGCAGAGTGCCGTTCATGATCTAAGAACGAGGGCACGTGGGTTATGCCTCATATCGGACCCTCACAGCAACCTCTTCAGAAAAAAAGTATCATATTAATCCCGATTGAGTCTAGAGTACTAATATTCACCTGAGAGCAAATCAAATCCTTTTGAGTGCTCTTCTACTACTGCCTTTGCAACACCATTTCCACTGGAATCGTCACGTCTGAACAGCCTCTTTTGATTCACATATGCTTTCAGCTTCACAAAACAACAAATCAACCATTAGATCACACAAGAAGCACCAACGCAATCGTCAATGAAGAGCTACAAACCAGTCACTCTATTTCACAGTTACACGTGTATTTGGATCACATAGACAATGAAGATGCAAATGTATTCGGAGACGCATCGGACGAGATACAAGCAGCACTGCATCAACTCAACACTGGTAACAGGATCTCTGCTATAGAAGCAATATCACTGACAAATGCAGTGAGAGTGAATGGAACTCTGTCTCAGCTGAGTGTTCCGAACAATAAACCGTCTCATGCAGCTGCAGAACCACTGACAGATGCACGGAAAGTGAATGGAACACTGCGTCAGCTGAATGTTTCGAATAATAACCTGTCTGATGTAGGAGCGGAAGCACTGGCAGATGCATTGAAAGTGAGTGGAACACTGGCTCAGCTGAATATTTCGTGGAGTGGAATCGGTCACGCAGGAGCGGAAGCACTGGCAGATGCACTGAAAGTGAATCGAACACTGACTCAGCTGAATGTTTCGAATAATAACCTGTCTGATGTAGGAGCGGAAGCACTGGCAGATACACTGAAAGTGAGTGGAACACTGACTCAGCTGAATATTTCGTGGAATGGAATCGGTCATGCAGGAGCAGAAGCACTGACAGATGCACTGAAAGTGAATCGAACACTGAGTCAGCTGAATGTTTCGAACAATAACCTGTCTGATGCAGGAGCGGCAGCACTGGCAGATGCACTGAAAGTGAATCGAACACTGTGTCAGCTGAATGTTTCGAACAATAACCTGTCTGATGCAGGAGCGGCAGCACTGGCAGATGCACTGAAAGTGAATCGAACACTGAGTCAGCTGAATGTTTCGAACAATAACCTGTCTGATGCAGGAGCGGCAGCACTGGCAGATGCACTGAAAGTGAATCGAACACTGACTCAGCTGGATATCTCGAACAATAAACTGTCTCCTGCAGGAGCGGAAGCATTGGCAGATGCACTGAAAGTGAATGGAACACTGACTCAGCTGAATATTTCGTGGAATGGAATCTGTCATGCAGGAGCGGAAACACTGGCAGATGCACTGAAAGTGAATCGAACACTGACTCAGCTGAATATTTCGTGGAGTGGAATCGGCCACGCAGGAGCAGAAGCACTGGCAGATGCACTGAAAGTGAATCGAACACTGACTCAGCTGAATATTTCGTGGAATGGAATCTGCGATGATGGAGCGGAAGCACTGGCAGACGCACTGAAAGTGAATCGAACACTGACTCAGCTGAATATTTCTTGGAATGGAATCTGTCATGCAGGAGCGGAAGCACTGAAAGTGAATGTAACACTAACTCAGCTGAATGTTTCCAACAATAAACTGTCTCATGCAGGAGCAGAAGCACTGGCAGATGCACTGAAAGTGAATCGAACACTGACTAAGCTGAATATTTCGTGGAATGAAATCTGTCAAGCAGGAGCGGAATCACTGGCAGATACACTGAAGGTGAATCGAACACTAAGTGAGCTGGATGTTTCGAGCAATGCAATCTGGAATGCAGGAGCAGAAGCTCTGGCAGATGCACTGAAAGTGAATGAAACACTGATGAATGAGGCCATAGTACTGTTAACTTAATCATCGGAAACATTAAATAATACAGTACCTTTTTATACTAGAATTATGTTGCAGTGGGGTTAGACTTTCTGGTATCATACTTACAGTGTACTGCTATTCATTCTTCATTGTTGCAATCCTAGCCTATGCTCTCACGTCGGTGCACGGGGAATTAGGGCTCCAGACTAAGCGCAATTCGTCGTTTTTTTCCGATCCGATGTACCCGTCGCTAAATTGTCCTTACCGTTTCTAAGTTAAATAAATGTATTCCTGTTGTTTCCAGGAAGCGCTAGGGCACATCTTCGTCGGCATTTTCTTGATCTTCTTACATCTGTTTTCCTCAAGAAATAGCAGATCGTCGACACAGTCATCGGAAACAAACCACGATTCATCAATCGATCAATGAATTGCAATCAAAACTATGATCAGCAGCAGTATGCAAAAGCACAGAAAGATCATATGCCTGTGGTATTTTGTGCATTTCGTTTTTATTTTGACCTTTATCTTCTTCAAAGAAAAGGTGGGAGTTATATCCGCACAAACTCCGACGATTTGGCAGTACAATGAACGAAATGCACAAAATAACTGTTTTGAAATAATCTTCACGTCGAGTAAGACCTGGTTCCTTTATCGGCTCGATTAGTTCTGGAATTTTGAACACTAAGTAAGTTTATGGTCTATGAACAATACATTTCATTAGCGTTATTTTCTGTGCTTGTTTTTGAAATATAATCTATCTCTTTCGTAGAAAAGGTGCGTTGTTTACTATCGTCATAAACCAATCGGATAATCCAAGAGCAGAATTTTATTGTAATTTTTCCTTTACACTGATTGATTAATTTCGCAAACTTTAGAGAAACTAAGCATGTATCAAGCGATTGTATCGCAACCAGAGCGAACTATCGTATTATGCATTTTCAATGCGAGATGTAAAGACTATATCGGGTAATAGTTAGATATAAGTAAATAGTTTTGCTTGGCAATAACACAATATGTATGACAAAATATGTGAGTTCAACAATCGTTATTTTAAAATACGATACTTTTACTCACCACTGTAATCAGCATCAGCTATACAAAATGTATGAATAACAGACTCAGTACACGTACTAGTCGCCCGTCTTTTCTTGCTGTTCCTTTCTATTCTTTGCTATTCTATGAAGGTAATAGGTATTTCTATTAATATGAATACTGCAACGGAGAGAGAAAAGTACTGTATATTGTTCATACATTTCGTCTAGCTGATGCTGGTTATAGTGGTCACTGAAAGCTTCGAATTTCAAAATAATGATTGCTGAATCCAAATAATTAATTTATTATTTATATTAATTATATTTAACATCTTTTAATCTCATCTTCTATCCACAATATTAAACAGAATAATAAATCAATAAGCATCAATCGAATTACATATACTAACGAGGAAACCTACCCAAGTGATACCTTCCGATTTCTTTCGTTCATACATCGATCGATAGAGGATATCGAGCTAGTAAAAAGCCTAAAAGAAATTTTCTCCATAACTCCTGAAGATCCGGTTTTCAAACCCTAAAAAATAACCAGAACTTTTCCTAATAAGACATAATTGTCCTGTTGTCCATAAATCCTGTTGACAAAAGAAAAAGTCTCTACGTTTGTAGAAGTGCGAATTCCACATAAACTGTTTAATCCATTTCTGTCTATTTCTTCTTCATCTGAGGTCACGATTTTCGTTCATAATTTTATTCAATCTGTTACATGCTTTGAATAAGAAAAAGCATTTAGAATTTGAGAAATACACTAAGAAACCACGAGAAATTCCATGAGATTTCCTTCGCCTACGTTTAGCTTCGTTGAAGAATTATGAGCACTCAAGTAAACTGGCTGTAATCATCTCAGTGAATGTACTTGGTACAAGTCCTTGAGAAATAAGTGATAAGTTAAGCAAATGTAAGTGCTCGACTGCCACAATGCAAGTAAATTTACTTGAAAAAGTTCAGTCAAGTACTTGTTCTATTTATTTTTATTTTGTATTTTATACTCTACTTTTGTACAGTACATACATGCGCGGCCACTAAGTTTGTTCAACTTAGTAGAAATACACAAGTTTAGTTTATAAGTGCATAGTGCTTGATATTATGGTGTTTATAGCACTTAACAAGTGCTAGCTCAAGTACCTGCCAAGTGCTTAACTTGTCGTAGTATTTGATTCTCATCAAGTAATAAAATACGTGTTCCAAGTATTTTCACTAGTGGGAGCATTATTTTTCTATACTATGTAAAAACTGTTGAAAATGAGCGTATAACATCTGTCGTCCTCATGAAAAAACGTTTCGTGCAATCTTAAAAGTAATAGGTAGTAAATAGGTGATAAGATCGCCATATGGAAAATTAGCAGTGTGTAGTTTTTAATAAAGTAAAAATATAACTTTATAAAAATATAACTTAAGAATAGGTCTCATTTTTCTTTACGTTACACAGACGTTTGGTGTTTAGATTGTTCGTTTTAAGTAAGCAGAAAAACCACTTGTTCCTCTTCGAAATGGACAATAATTTTAAAGACAAACAACAGATAAACATTTGTCAAACCTCAATTCAGTTTAAAAGATATCATTTAATATTGGTGTTAATAGTTATTGCACGATCTTGTACTACTTATCCATTAGAGGATGAGACGATTGATGGTGTTCGAACAATCGATAGTATACTAAATAATTATTTGGCTTCGAAAGTAGCGACAGATCACGATAAACGACTGTATTCGTCGAATCAGGATTCCATCGATGATTTATATATACAACTTATGGGTCGAAGTTTAAGCAAAACGTCTAAATTACATAAAAATAATGAATTATCGTCGTTAGAAAATTTATTAGAAGAGCGTTCTCGAAGTGTTCTATGGCCACGTATTTGCTTCTTCGCACAAGCAGAAAGGCAAGGGTCTAATACAAAAAGATGTTTTCCATATGAACATGAACGTAACTAAGAACATTGTGATCTATTTTCTTACAAATATATGATGATAAATACAGTATCAAGAGCACCAGAATAGGTAATGGGTCTGTTATTTATTTTGTATTGATTAAGCGAGAAAAATGCTAAATAAAGTATTTCATCCGTTTCCCAGAACAATCATATGGCTGTATCAATAAACTACAATTCATCGTTATAAACGAAACTTTAACATCTAAAGACCCCGCCGGATAAGACCGTAAATCCGCCACTCCCCTATGTCTCACTTTCAATAGGCTAGAAAGATAGAGCATGAAATTCTGCACATTTCTGGGTATTTATTTTGATTTTCGTCGAATGTAAAAAAGAATTTTCGAAGATCAAATAGTCTTGGGGGTATATCACTTTTTGGTATTCTAGATAATAACTATGGTACCCATCATTTTTTCTTTTGTAAATCTAATATAAAAACTAATAGTGTAGATCGACGCAGTTTTTCGTGCTCTACAAAATGGTATAAATATATCATTCTCAAATTGTTGTCATTAAGGGCTACCAGACTCACAAATATAAGAAAATATACAAAAATTCGTTGCAAATAACTCCATCATATTATACATCAGCATTCGATTTTCCAAAGTTCCCATACCATTCAGATACATCCTTAGGGCCTTCCGAAAATCGAATGCTGTTTCATGAAACAATGCTTTACAGAGGTCAAAGGCGTCTCATTTTGTTCAGAAATGTTTGCGCTATATGATGGAGTTATTTGCAACGAATTTCTCGATTGAACTCAGGGGCTTGGTTTTCTGAGATTTGGGTTTTCCAGAGACCCTCGTTTCAAAAGTTTCGATAGAACCTTTGTATAACACCACATCAGATCGGAAATTATTTCGGCTATTCAAATCTTTTTCCAAATTTGATCTAACTATTATGGTCGACGAGCAAAATGAAAAATAAAGGTGCACGAATAATTTCTGGACCCACTGTATCGATATACAAGTAAAATAATGACATGTTCAAAAGTAATCATCGAATATTCTATATTGGGGCTATTTTTAATTTTCTCAAACTTAGACCATTTTGTAGAGCAAATCACGAGAAAATTTTTGTTTATTGACTAATGCTGGAATAATTTCTAGCATCGCTTGGCAGACTGGGGTAATAAACTGACCTAAAAATTCGTTATAAAATTTAATATCCACGTTAAGTAGCGTTAAATTTTGAGCATATTGTTCTAGCCGGGTTTCTTGATGCTGGATTACATGCTGCATTTGACGTAGTTGTTCATCATGTTGTTCTGCAACCTTTAATAGTCTGTTAATCTCTTCGCCCCTCTCACCCACATTTTTTTCTAATCTGGATAACCGTTCATCATTCTTCCCATCCACCCATCCGTTTCTATTGTAACGATTGATGTTCACCATCGCATCCATTGGGGGAAAATCATTATTATTATGTTGAAATGCGGTTCCTTTATCCTTGTCCTTGACCTGCTACGTTTCGGTTGTTCTTAATAATTGTTTTGTTAATATGGAACGGTAAGATCTAATCGTTGGACATCTGTTGTCATTCGAATCGTGACTGTCATTACATCTTACACATTTTGATAGATTATCACAATCTTCTGTCCGATGTTTCTTGAGATTGTCTACTTCCAAACCACATATTTTACATCTATTCCGCTGTTGAGGATAATTGCTACGAAAGTGTCCAAGTTGAAAACATTTTGAACACACTAACACTTTAGCAGGGACTAGATACTCACTCACTGGATGACGTGAATGATACAAATATACAAATTTTTTTCTTAGTAATTCATCTATGATTTTAACACTTTGAATATCCAATCTAACAAGCGTTGTTTGTCCATTGTCTTTGTTGAATATGCGAGATGCATTGATTATATCCGGATAAACTTGTTGCAATTCC